GTAGAAAGATGTTCCACCATCAGATGTAGAAAGATGTTCCACCATCAGATGTAGGAAGATGTTCCACCATCAGCCGTAGAAAGATGTTCCACCATCAGATGTAGAAAGATGTTCCACCATCAGCTGGATGTATCTCCACCAACGGGCTCCTCTGTTCTCTGGTTCTGATCCATGCTGCGTGTATTTATTGATCCAGCAGGTTGGATTTTGCTCTCAGTGTCTCTGGCTGCAGTTCAACCGAGAACTTTCAGAATTTGTGCCGTGTGCCTGCAGGTCACAGCTGAGTTGGTCGTGACTGTCAACGGTTCACTTTTGGTGATTTCGTTATTGGAAGCACGTAGAATAAAGTGATTCTGATTTTAGCCTAGATTTGGTTAATTTTTGAAACATTATTATATCTGAAAGTTGTTTTTTGGTAAATGGTGTAATTTTGGCAATTTAAAAAAAAAGATAAGTGAAGAGATGACGATGTGTTGCGTTGAGCTCTCAGGGTTCCAGCATGTTTCTACAAGACATGAAAATCATGGGATTGAAAACTTGTGGATTAATGAAATAGTTTTTGTAATGTTGACAGTCACATGGTACCATCAACATCAACCCCAAAGAGAAGATTAGAATACACTAAACAAGCAACAAAGTTAGAAAAACCTTTTCAGAATGTGAGTTAATCTGCTTGTGTTTCTAAAGTGTGATAAGACAGACAGGTGAAGACGAGGTGTCTAATGATCCTGGAGAACACAACAGCTTCTTCTACGTCTGTCCTACCTCCAGGTGAAGACAGACGGACATCAGGAACTTGTAGGTGTTGTCTCTGGACAGGAACGACACGAACACGTACTGCAAACAGACAGATTTGTTTCTGAAACCTTTTCTCCACGAGTCTCCAATGGAAAAAAAACCAACAACAACAACATGTAGTTTTGTCTCTCACCCTGTCGTTTGCGGTGGCGATCACCAGAGCGTTTGGCACCAGGATGGCGGTTTTGGTTTTCTTGATGTTGGTGACGGACACCACTGGGATGGCGATCTGAGAGGAAACGAACGCCGGGATGGACGGTTTTAGTTCTGCACCTGTTCAGCTGCTCGCCTAACAAGTTCTCATGAGGTTCAAGGAACATTTTAAGGATTTTTATCGTTTAAGGAGGTTAAAAGAGGTTAGAAGAGAACGTTTGGGAAATGTTGTCATAGACTCTGTTCTGTAACAAAGAAAGAACGTTCTTGAGCCGACATTTAGACTGTTTTGAAAACGGCTTTCTTCAACATCAGACGTTTGATGTTTTAATATCCAGAAGTCTTTGGAAAATTGGTCATTTTTGCCGTTTATTATTTTTTTTGTAAAGTCCAGTCAGATCACGATCCCTCACTGGCTTCCCATCCATTCATTAGGCTTGTTTTGGTGCCTCACTGAACTATTTTACCAAACAAATCACCGTCACTAAAGCGGGAGATTCTACTGTTTGTGTTCGTCTTTTCTGGCCTGAAAACGTTCAACATAATAGCAGATTATTCTAAAGGTTCTGTGGAAGTCGAACGTCCGGGTAATAAAACGGTTAAATGCGATCAAACCGAAGCGTTGCGGCTCACTGGATTCTTCTGAAACGTTTTTTCTACAAACACAAAACAGCACTTTTCTGTGGACCGTTTCCTGCACTGCGGTGAACACGCGGAGGTTTCCCTGTGAAGCCGCTCCGACGTTAAATAATTTAAACCGACATCTCGGAATCAAATCACACCTGCTGCTGCCGCATCTGAAGCCTTCGACACAACAAAGGAAACGCTGTGAAGTCGGTGTCAGAAACCGACGGGGAAACAAGAAAGTCGCAGGAAAGATTTTAGTATTCAGTTTTGTGTTTTTTTTAAAACATTTCCGGCAGGTTGTTGTCAGTCATTCACACTGATCCGACCATCTGCTGTCAGCGGCGACAGTAACCGTGTCCCCGTCCTTCCAGTACCTTGATATCTTTGCCAAACACCTTGGAGTGGAAGCAGATCCAGTGGTCGGAGACGAACATGCGTCCCTGGTAGAGGATGTCCTTCTGCAGAGCACAGGTGTAACCTGACGGACAGGTGAGCGGAAAACAGGAAACACTGTCAAGCTGAGATTCTCTGCTTGAGTTACGAGCGTCAACTCCTCCGTGGGGTATCAGATGTTTGGCTATTATCTAATCCCTCATTCAGTATTTAAGGTGGACGGCTGTGATGGTTGAGGACTCACTCTGTCTGAGCTGCTCCTCTTTGCTGATCTCCTTGAATATTTTATGGTACTGGCAGTTGCTCTTCGAAAGCTGAAAGACAGCGAATGATGAGCGATGCTTGGTAACGACACCACGACATGCAGCAACTGTTCAACGCTCAGCAGATAACTTCACAAAGTTCACAGCAAGTTTCAAGACTGACTTTTCACATTTTTAGTTCAGGATTGATTCAAAGCTTGGTTCTACCACAGATTGGATCACACCTAAAGACGGTTCTGGTATCAAGTGTGTGTAAAAACGGTCCTTCCATCGTCTAGAACTGGTTCTGACCAACCACCATCACACATGCTGCCATGAGCCTGGACAGTTTACCCAGAATGTACTTTGTAAAGTTTCCTCTGGTGAACGATCAGAACCAGAACCACATCCAGGGTACCAGTGATTGTTTCTATGGCATCCCATAGTACTGATGCTAGCAGCTGGTTGTAGAAAATTGACTGGAAAAGTTTTGGGTCATGTTGGATACGTTTGAGGTTGCTTAGATGGATTTAGAATATTTCTGGACAAGTTTAAAGTGACTTTGGTTCATTTTTGACTCATTTAAAACACGTCTTGAATCATTTTGGACCGTGTTTGAGTTATTTTGGGGAATCTTTCAGTAGTTTGGAGACGTTTCCAGGCACTTTGTTTAGGTTTTAGGTATCCTGGTGAATTTCTGAGTCATTCTGGGCATGTTGGTGCCAATTTAGAAAGATTTTAGGGCAACTTGGATCAGTTTGAGGTATTTTACAAAACCTTTATCTTATTTTGAACAGTTTTTAGTTACTTTGGACAAACTGAAACACATCCAGGGTACCAATGATTGTTTTTATGTCATAGTCATTAAACTGTTCACACTATGAGACATCCCATAATACTGATGCTAGCAGCTGCTGGATGGGACATTTCTAAGTCATTCTCTATTACATGTAATATATTTGAACATCTTTTTGGTCATTTTGCTGAATGTTTAACTCATTTGTGGCAGCTTTTGAATACTTTTGGTTAATTTTTTGAGTAATTTTGGGTCATTTTGCTCCATTTGTGACTAAATTTTAGACAATCTTCTACGACTCCATGTCAAAAACGATGATACATCCCATAATATTGATGCTCAATGATGATGGATGGACAATCTTTAAGTCATTCTGGACACTTGTTGGTTATTTTGTTGAATGTTTAACTCATTTATAGCAGCTTTTGAGTAATTTTAGAGAAATTATGGCTCATTTTGTCCCATTTCTGACTGAATTTGGGACAATTTTCTTTGACTCCATGTTAAAAACTCGATGACTCTTTTTCATAGACATTAAACTGTTCAGACTATGAGACATCCCATAATACTGATGCTACCAGATGGCTATGAAACTCAAAAGATGTTTTTTGAGTGATCTGGCAGTTTTTTTAAAAATAAATTTGGGCAGTTTTTAAGTAACTCTGGACGCCTTTTAGTCACTTTGATCCAGTTTTGAGTCGCTTTTGATCAGATTGAAGTATTTTTCAGCCATTTCGAACATTTTGTTTTGTTTTGTTTTATTTTGTTTTTTCATTTTGGAAAGGTTTCGGACATTTGAAAAGCAATTGTTGACACTTCTTTAAGCATTTTGGTTTGATTTTAAATAATTAAGGACGAGCTTTGAGTAAGTTTTTGTCATTCGAGTCGAGCTTTTAGAGTCTTTGAAAGGCATGTTGTCTTTAAAAGAAATGAACAAACTAACAGGATTTCCAGGAGCTCTGGGAGCAGCAGGAGGTTCCCGTGATGTGGATGGCAGCCAGGCTCATGTAGGTTTTTATATCTGTAGTCTGGGAACCTTTTGTCTTTAATCCAGTGCTTGACTTTAGTGGATGTTGGCTTGATCTGACAGGTGATGCACAACATGCGTTCATACTAACTCTCCCTTTAGACTTTGACTGTGGCCCTGATTTGAAGTTTTTTTTAAAGAAGAAAATTCATAAATAGACAGATTTAATGTCTTTAGTTGCCACAGTCCCAGATTAAAGCTCGTTAAATGTCCATTACAAACATCTGAGTGCGTGTTCGTGATAATCTGCAGCCGTGGAGTCATAAATCTGGAGGCTGTAAATCTAAAGCGTCTGAAGACCTTTGACAGACGGATCCGAGGACCTGATGCTCACGTTCAGGACAGTTAGGGCCTTAATTCAGCATAAATGCTCCACCAACACCCTGTTAATTAACATTACGCCGGGCTCGGCTGAATGATCGGCTCTTATCATTTATCCCTTCTGTCATCGTTTGACGTCAGTCCTCAGAGGACCTCTGACGGGAAAGTCGCCCAGTCAGCAGGAGGCGTGAGACGTGATGCAACGTTTACGGCTCCAATAAAACACGTATCAGGGTTTTCTTCATGAAGGCTCACCTGGCTGTAGTGAGACTTCTTCCTTTCCATCTTGGAGTCGGAGTCGGTCTGGATCTGAGTCAGCAGCGAGTGATCGAAGGTCTTTGACCTGCAGGCGGGAAATCAATGCACACGATAAGATTTGACTTGTTACACAACCGACCAGACCTGAAGTGAACTGTGAGGCTGCAGCTCGTCTGTCTGTCTGTCTGTCTGTCTGTCTGACTGTCTGTCTGTCTGACTGACTGACTGACTGTCTGTCTGTCTGCTGTGAGCCCTGATCGTCGAGCTGACATGTGATTTTATGGCAGGTGTAGTAAAAGCAGCACACTGTGAAAAACACAACAACAAATCTGGAAAATCAAAATATGTTGAAGATGTTGTAAAACTGTAAAACACAGTCAGAAAACTGTCTGTTTTTATGTCTGACTGTAAAGTTACTGAGCAATGTCCCTGAGGTCTTGAACCGAAGGGATTAATAAAGTTTTATTCTATTCTAATTCTAATTTTTATTCTAATTCTAAAATTACACAAACTACTATTTATATAGAAACGGATTTTTACTGTCGGCATTAATTCAATTTCTTTTTTTTTTCTGTCAACATATAGATTAATACTTTATCTGTAATTTAACTAAACGGGGAAAATCAGAGAAATACAAGTAAATAAATAATATATTAATAAGTAAAAGTATAATAAATAAATAATAGTAATAGAATAAGTTTTTTTTTTAAAAATCCTTAAATCTGTGGAGGTTTAAAAAAATAAAATAAAATAAAAAGAACCAGCGGAGAGTTTATCAAAAATGTTTTGTATTTTCATTTCTTTGATTTATTATTATTATTATTATTATTATTATTACTATCATTATTTCTGTTTTAAGCCAGGACTGTCAAATGAGAAAAAAGCCCATTTTATTTTATTTTATTTTATTTTTAACCAAAAAAGAACAAATTGAAAAAAAAATTGGTCAATCCTTTTTTAAAATTTTTTTCTTCTTTCTAAATTTCTCCACAGTCCATTAACATTGAAAGCAAAGTGAGACAATTAACTGTTTTTCCTTTTTTTGTTTGTTTTATTTTAATTTTGGTATTTGGAAGGAAAAAAACAGATTCTACTTATAAACAGAGTCGCCTCGTTAATGTCTGACGGCAACGACACAAACAAACTCCTGAACAAACAAGCAGACGGTTGTTGTTGTTGTTGTTGTTGTTGTTGTTGTTGTTGTTGTTGTTGTTGTTTACCGGACCAACACCGGCTTCCTCCTGCCGGACGCGTCCAGCTGCTCCTGATCCTGCAGGAGCTCGACGACGGCCCTCCCATGCTTCTGACGTTCCTCCGCCACGTTCTCCACGTCTGAGCTGCACACGAGAAGAAAACAAATTAAACCTCCAAATCAAGCCAAATCTTAATTAGCAGCCAGCAGGAGGACGTGCAGAGAAAGAGCAGAACGACAAGAGGAGGTTTAAAGATCGCCACGTTTCATCTCATTTACAATAATAGTTGTTTAGTTTCTCTAAATCCTCCTTAAAGTCCGATTTATGTAAAATTATCCTCATTTATGCTCTGATTTGAGTTTCTGGTGCGACGAAGCATCGACGGAGGGATTCAGAAATATTAAAATATGTCCAGGAATCGTGAGGAAAAGAGTTCATCAGTCAGTTAAACTTTATTTGTTCGACAGCTTTCATTCACCTCAGAAGAGTTCAAAGAGCTTCACAGATAAGCCGAGAGAGGAAAGTAGAACTAGGCTGAACAGAACAGACAGAAAAAGACAGAAGATGAAAATAAACTGGATTAAAAAAGGTTAAAAGGCAAAGAATAAAACCAAAACAATAAGATGAGTAGATGAAAGTACAGACAATAAAAATAAAATAACAAGTAGATAAACTTATGTTAAAAAGCAAAATATAAAATAAACTAATAAAAAATACGGATATTTAGATTAATAGACAAATAATAAAACTCTTAATTAGATAATAAAAAAGTAGATTTTTTTAATTAAAAGACAACATTAAAATAAAATAATAATGAAAAAATATGAAATTGGATTTAAAAAATAATTTAAAAAATAGTTAAATTTCGACTGATAGACAAAAAATTAAAAAGTTAAATAGGGATTAAAAGACGTAGCATGAAAATGAAACAAACAAAACAATAAATAAAATTTGATTACAATACAAGCTATTATAATAAAATTTAAATGATTCAAAGTAAATACAGTTAGATTAAAAGACAAAGCATGAAAATACAATTTAAGAATTAATCAAATTTGGCAAAATAAGATTTAAAGCCCAGGCATAAGAGCATGCAAATCAAATAAAATAAAACCTACATCATACGACAGACTGATGAGACGTAGAAATAGAATGAAATAGAACCAGGACAGACTCACGACGGCTTGGATTCATCCTAAACTCTGCTCTGTAGTCCTGACCTCTGACCTCTAACATGAACCCACAGCACCGGATCCTACGTTTCCCAGAATGCAGCATCCTTCTAGAGTAAAACTCTCAGTTTGAGCCCATCTCAGCATCTGGAAACATGTTTCCTCTGCTGCACCTGCATTACGTCCAAGTTCTGACACCTGAATGGATCAGTCAGAGCCGGTACTGGTCCTGCCGGTACCGCTCCTCCTGCTCATCTACTGCAGCTGCCTGCGGTTCCGAGTCCTGTCTGGGCCTCACACTCACTGATAGTCTCTGTCTGGCTGCTTCGCGGCTCCTCTGCTGCTCTTCCTGCCGTCGTCCTGCTGGCTCGCTTCTGTCATCACGTCTCTCCACCGACCGGCCGCCGCGACAACTGAAAGGTGAGGCGACCCCGATCCTCCCCCGCCGCCTCACCTGCCCGTGGGCGTGGCCAACGGGGCCCCCTGGTCTCACGTGTCACAGCCAATCAGAGGGCAGGAGGCGGGCAGGTGTGTGTGAGCGCGTTTAAACCTTTGATCGGTGACATGTGGGCCTGCTTTGTTCCCAGACCAGAGCCTGGTTTGGTTCACACTTCACATGTTCTTTCTTTTTTATTCTCTACATTTAAAACAGCCTGAACGCTCCGAGACGTTCAGTGGTTTCCCAGCACAGCTCCTCCTGCTCGCCTCTTTTTGCTTTGGTTCCCCGAACAGACTGAAATCTGATCCGCTTCCCTTTTCAAAAAGATTCCACGTGTTCAACCGTCCGAACCACACGACGCCCCGGAGAGTTTTAAAAGCAAAAAAAATAACCAAATATCAACCAGAAGCTTTTAAAAACTGCTCTGAGTGAGTCGTGAAGGTTCTGACGAGAAACATGACAAACAACAAGCTAAAAGTTGTAATATTTCTAAAAAATCACTTCATCCCGCACCGCAAAACTCGATTTTATTAGAAAAAGAACAAGTCTGTGCTGTGACCAACAGTTTTCAGGCAGGCAGTGTTTCCACTAGGAATGAAAAGCTCACACCATTAGGCAGCTGGAAAACTGAAAAAACAAACAAAAAACCCACAAATTGACGGATTCTCAATTTCCTGAAGGTTCCATCGAGAAAAATAACCAAAAACAGGCTTCAAATTGAGATATTTCATCAAAACACAATCAGAATTCACCCAAAATAAACCGTTTGCAGCAGATTCTACAAAAAACAACTAAAAACACGTCTTCAGTTTAACTCTGATGCTGTTTTTGTGTTTTATCTGATTTAATAACATTTTAGTGATCATAATAAATGAGAAGCACAAACTTAAAAGTCGTGTTTTCTTGAAGAAATTCACCAAAAATGCATTTTTAAAAGCCAAAGTCTGTTAAAAGCAAAAAGAACGTATCAGACTTTCAACCTCCTGGTGGTCTGTGTGAAGAAAAACAACAAGACAACAAGCTGAAAATTGTGATATTTACTAAGAATCACTTTAGTCTACCGTCACAAATTCACCCAAAATGAACCATTCGCGTCAGATTCTGTAAAAAAATAAAAACATTTTATAAACTCCTCTGTGTAGCAGCGATGCTACGACTGAGGGGGACAAGTCACCAGACTCCATTGAAAAATCCAGCGATTTAAGGTGGTGCTGCTGACAGAAGCGGTTCAGTGTTCGGTAATGTGCCGCTTACACCTGCAGGTTAATCATAAACTGTTTCAGGTCAGTTCGGCACACGTGAAGTCTCAGGTGCATCCAGAAACGTCGTGTTATGCTGAACAATGTGCCGGTTATCATGCATTAAAGAAGTTGAACTGGTGTTGAAACGTGTAAATGAAGCCGCAGAGGTTTAGTTTATGTGTCGATTTGACCCAGTTGTCGTCCCGTCGGTGTGTCTAAACTGTACATGTGTCTGTAATCTGACCTTCTGGGCCACGAAAACAGTCGACAAACATCAGCTTTCTCTTTCTGAGAATCTGGTTCACACACAAACCCACATTTCGAGGCGCAGCTGCACTCGGTGACGCGCAAAACATGCCGACACTGAGGCAGCGAGGCAGTGAGGCAGCGAAAAGCCTGTAAGAATACACGAAAAGGTTTGTTCATTTACAACGTCCATCCATCATCTCTACACCTTCATCCTCACGAGGGTCATGGGGGGCGGAGTCTATCCCAGCTGACTCAGGGTGAAGGCAGGTTCACCTGGACAGGTAACCAGTCTATCACAGGGCTACACTTAGAGACAGACAACCAAGCACACTCACATTCACACCTACGGACAATTTACAATCACCAATTAACCTCAACATGTTTGTGGACTGTGGGAGGAAGCCGGAGAACCCGGAGAGAACCCACGCTGCACGGGGAGAACATGGAGACTCCACGCAGGAAGATCCTGGGTGTCCTCACTGGGATGGGAACCAGCGACCTTCTAGCTGTGAGGTGACGGTGCTAACCACTGATCCACCTCTTCTACAACATTTGAACGTAAAAGTATTCACAGATTTTTTTTTTATTGTTTAAATCTACAAAAATATTTTTATTTTGCAGATATTTTCCTTTACTTTAAAGAAAGATTCTGTATTTGAAGGACTGAAAAATTGTAAAAATACATAAATACAATATTACATTATAGATAATATGTAGTAAAAATCATTAGAAACAAATGTTAATTTAAATGTTCACATTTAAATTAATTTACGTGTTGGCTGGAAAACAAAAACAAAACAGAAACAGGTCAAGACTGCATAAAATATTCCACATTAAACATCTGTTTTTACAAAGACTGTTAACTATTAAATTCTGTTTTGTGTTCATTTCTACAAAAATATTTTCCTTTACTTAAAAGACAGATTCTGTATGTGAAGGACTGAAATTCAAATCAAATAACACTAAAAAAAAATCACAATATCTGTAATATTTAGTAAAAATCATAGAAAAAGTGTGAATTTTCATGTTGAATGTAAAATAAAACACCTTCACAACAAGAACCTGTATTTTTATAGTAACTTTATTTTTACAGTGTGACCCTAAAATTAAATATTTTTACTCTTTAATCAACTTTAAAAAAGTAAACATCCTTATTCTACAGATACTTGTTTTTACTTTAACAGGTTTTACAGCCTCTGAGCGTTACAGTATTCCACTGTTGTTTAACGTATATCTCTGACATCCTTTCTTCCAGATTTTTACATTTTTAAGCGATTTTATTTATTTTTTATCATCATAAACACAATCGGTCCACGTACAGTAAAGATAATGAGCCTGTGTGACCTTATTTGACAGAGATCTCTGGGTTTTCTTGATGTTTTTCACATTTAATAAGCAACAATGTCAGTTTTACTTCAGTAAATAATTCACAAAAACAAATTTTTCACTCTAAAAAAAACCTGATCTGGAGCCAGAAGCTATAAAAAAACTGTGTTTGTGTTATTGAGCGGCTTCAGTCGTGTTTATTTACCGGCTGACTGTCCAGCGGTCGAACACAGTTACACAACCCGACGCACTTTGAAACACAAACACACCGTCTGTGGTTTGCTGCTGATTCGTCCCCACGTCGCTCGTTTCCCTCATCAGGACGACGCTAACGAGATATATAACGTATATACTAACGAATCTCTTCTCGTTTCACCCCTTAAATCATTATTATTTATATCATGTGTGGCTTCCTGCTGCTCTAGAAATAAAAACATGAGGTCCATCAAACTGTGCGACTCACATTTAGATGATATTTTTAGTGGCAAACGCACCAGACGGCCTTTGAAACGCAAACAGCTCTTCCTGCCAAACACCGAACACGTCGCTCCGTTTAGAGACTCAGTCGATTCTGATCAATTTTTAAAATCTGGGTTAAACTGATCGTGTGGTTTTAGCGTCGGACCGATGAATTCGCTGCAGGAGGAGCGAACCCCCGCTGGTTGGACTGGGTTCACTGGACGCTTTTCAGGCCGATTCACTCGTTAAAAGAGACTTCAAGAGGAATTCCACCAGTTTTAAACGTCAAACACGTTCCCACCAAAACTATCACTTGTGGTTTTTCGATGCGGTTTGTCCGTGCAGCGATGGAAAACCACATTAACCACGTTTCTGTGGATGAGTTGACAGGGCGGTGCGCTTTGTCCTGGTGGACACCGGTGGTACTGCAGCTAAAGAATCCAACTTTCATTACAAAAGTAAACAAAGACAGCTGACGAGACGCCTCGAACCAACGTCGGATTGACTCTTTGTGTTGTGAATTCATGATCTGAGGAGGTTTAATATTCGTAAAACCTCCACAGAACTGAGAAAAAAGTGGCTTTTATTCTTGAAATGTCACATTTATTTGTTTGTTTATCCCAGCCGACGTGAAAATTTACTTTTTTTTTCTGTCCTATTAAATCTGTTATTTAACAAAACAGAAGAAATCTAACAAAAACACCTTAGAAAATAAATTTTTAATGTTCGAAATACATCATTTTTCTTTCAATTAATCACATATATATATAATAATTTTTTTGTAGACTTATATTTAGTTGTTTTTTGGCAATTTTTTTTACTGTTTTATTAACTTCAGAATAAATAAATAAATAAATAATAATAAATATATAAATTATTTAAATAAAATAAATTGAATTTTTTAAATTATTTTTTTTTTACAAATGGTAATTTGTTCTTTCACAACATTTAAAAGTGAAATTACAGTTTGTTTGTTTGACTTTATAATAATATAAAGTCTCTGAGCTGAGTTGGAATAAGTGGGCGGGGCCAGCGTGGAAACACCACTGAGCATGTGCAGAGGAAACTACCGACATAGTTTTGCGTCTCTGTGATCACGCTGAGCATCAGTTGTGATTATTTTATGTGCTTTGAGTGTTTTTGTTTTTGAGCCTCTTTGTGCTCGTTTTGTGTCTCTTTGTGATAATTTTTTATGTGTTTTGAGTCTATTTGTGTTTATTTTTTGCGTCTTTGTGGTCACGTCGTGTCGTTTTTGATGATTTTAAGCTTCTTTGTGGTTATTTTGAGTGTTTTTGTGCTCATTGTGAGTCTATTTGTGATCATTTTGACAGTTACTGTGTATGTTTTAACGTGTTTTGTGTTTATTTCGAGGCTATTTGTGTTCATTTTTTCAGTCTTAGTAGTCATGTCATGTCTTTTTTGATTATTTTAAACTTCTTTGTTGTTATTTTATGTGTTTCGGGCATCGTTGTGGTTATTTTAACTCTTTTTTTCCTTCTTTGTGGTCATTTTCAGCGGATGTTTCAGGTCATTTAATGTGTTTCATGTTGAATATTTTACATGCGAGGTTTCATCTGAACAATCACGGTTTCTTGTTCTGTGTGAGACACATATTTAAATGTGGCGCCGCTTGTTTGACGTACACAGAAGATAAACTGGGTCGTTTTTCTTTGCACAAACGAAGAAAAACACGTTTTAAATTTGCAGATTTTAACAGAAAGTTTTTCTTGCTGGTGGCATCCACGGTCACAATAAGTAAATATGCTTCAAACAGGACATTTTGATGTTGATTTAGGGTTGGTTTAAGCTGCTGGTGCCACACAACAAACCGTCCTGTTCGACAGAAGATAAACCGGTTTGTTCAGCACCAACATCTGCAGATTTCTGGGACGACTTTTTGCACAAACGAACGTAAACTTGTTCTCAACTTGCAGGTTTTAGCAGAAAGTGTGTTTTTGTCTCACCGGTACCATCCGTTGGTGGACGTCATGCTGTCGGACCTTCACTGGGGCGGACCGGACTCCGTCAGCTGTTCAACATCTGGATTTGAATGAAGAGCCGGTTCCAGCTCAGATAAATGCTGCGGTGGTGGTCGACACACCTCCTACAGCTCTGTTTGGTTTAGCAGAACGCCCTGTGATGTTTCTGACCTCCGTCCTCTTCACCTGCTGCCCCACATCTCTTATCTCTGGTTAGCGATTGACAAACCTTCTGCTGCACAAAGACACGGTTCAGATCAACCTGTTTGTTTGTTTTCTCCAGAAAAATACGCTTTTTATCACCTGAAATGCAAAGCAGGCTGCTTTACCTGCTGCACGGAGCTCATTTAAAATACACAGACACACAAATGGACGTTAAATATTTGTAGTATTTCCAGAAAGGTGTTTATGTTTAAGACCTTGTCCCCAGTGAGGCTCTTGGTTTATGTTTTGGGGTCATTTCTGTGATTTTTTTTGGGTCTCTTTGGGGTTATTTTTTTTTTTATCTTTTTGGTCATCTTCTGGGTCTTTGAGATTATTTTAAGCCTCATTGTGGTCACTTTATGTGTTTTGTGGTCATTTTGTGCATCTTTTTGGTCCTTTTGTGCATTTTTGCATTATTTTATGCATGTTTGTGGTTAATTGTGAATCTCTTTGGTCATCTTGTGCATTTTTTTGGTCAATTTGTACCTCTTTGTTTTCATTTTGTGCATCTTTGTTTTCATTTTGTGCATCTTTTTGGTCCTTAGTTGCATGTTTGTGGTTATTTTGTGCATCTTTGTGTTCACTTTATGTGTTTTGCATCATTTTGTGCATCTGTGTGATCATTTTCTGCATCTTTGTGGTTATATTGTGCATGTTTGTGGTCCTTTTGTACGTCTTTTTGGGTCATATTGTGCAGCTTTTTAGTCATTTTGTGAATTTTTGTTTCATTTTGTGCATCTTTGTGGTCATTTTGTGCATCTTTGAGGTCATTTTGTGCGGTTTTTGGGTCATTTTGTGCATTTTTGCATTATTTTATGCATCTTTGTGGTTAATTGTGAATCTCTTTGGTCATCTTGTGCATTTTTTTGGTCAATTTATACCTCTTTGTTTTCATTTTGTACATCTTTTTGGTCCTTAGTTGCATGTTTGTGGTTATTTTTGTGCATCTTTGTGTTCACTTTATGTGTTTTGCATCATTTTGTGCATCTGTGTGGTTATATTGTGCATGTTTGTGGTCCTTTTGTGAATTTTTGTTTCATTTTGTGCATTTTTGAGTCATTTTGTGCATCTTTGTGATCATTTTGTGCATATTTGAGGTCATTTTGTGCGTTTTTTGGGTCATTTTGTGCGTCTTTGTGGTCATTTTATGTGTTTTGCATCATTTTGTGCATCTGTGTGGTTATATTGTGCATGTTTGTGGTCCTTTTGTGAATTTTTGTTTCATT